GCTCGCCTTGAGCTGAAGAGCTGAAGGACAGCGCCCAGGCCCAGAGTTCAAGCCCCACGACCGACAAAAAAAAAAAAAAATTCGATAGTATCATCAGTAGTTTAATAACCAAACATATAAACATATGCTGAAAGAAATCAAACCTACTAAAAAGGAGTAAGTTGAAGGATGGACTAAACACCCCCACCCAGGCCTACCTGTGGAGACTTTCCTGTTATCTCTCAGAGTGTGGGTCTAGCACCGACTATATATTAGATAACAATAAATCATAATCAACCTCACTATTTTAAAAAGGCAACATAATAGAAAGTTCTAATCTTTTCATTTTGTGTACCTGTTAAAGGTGACCTGACCCCTTGGGGTGACCTGACCCAAAGCTGCTTGCTTATTGTGGCAAGTGGTAGAAAATTGAGGGACCTCCGGTCTTCCAGGAAGATGACTTCTATCACTCATTCACGGGATGTATCATCAAGGAAATTGATTCCATTGGGGGATTAGGGAGATCCGAACCCAATGAAGTCCTCAAGGATTAACTTAAAGTTAACCTTCACTCAGAAGAGTTTACCCTCCAACCTTCCTTGGCCCATACAGGTTGCATTGTAGATGCCTTTTAAAGTCTTTCTAAAATAATCTCTCATACACCTCAAAAATACCATTCCTTTCAAGTATGAAAGGCCTTGGAACAAGTATTATTTTTCATGTGCTTCTAAGCCACCATCATTTTTCTGGGGAAAGTGGGGGAAAAACATCAAGATTATTGCTTATCCCTAACTCAAAGGCTCCACCATTCCCTTAACAATCTTATTCCATTCTATTTCCTCCAGTTCCTCATTCTTTCTTTCACTATTTCAGAAATATACAGACAACAGGTTTTCTGCAAGGAAAAGGAAAATGTTAGGCCATTTAACTCCAAAGAGAGGCAATAACCCCATCTTCCTGGAAACCACACATGTTAGGTTTACATTTCAAAAAAGACACTAAGGTTCCTTAGCAGTCTTGTGGCCACAGCTACTTAAGGACAGCTGGCCGAAGCCAGAGGCTGTCTTCTCCAGAATGCATTTTACCTTTGGCCTGGTGTCCTCATCCTGTGGACCATATTCTTCTATAGTCAGCCACTTCCTCATTTATCAGAGATCAGAAAAGGAAATGGGAGGGGAGGAGGAGACCATCACCCTCCCCCTTTGACTCTTGTCCCAACCTTGTTATAGTGAAGGATATAATGGTAACAGCTGAGAAAAAAGGTTGCTCAACATGAAAGTTCAAGTTCAAAGTGGTTTATGGTCTTTTCCATCTCAAGGAGGTATACTTGAGGTCTTCTAGTTCCCCCAACAGTTAAATGTGAGTGGCAGAAATTCGGACTCCCTAACCCTCTCCATGGCCTTGAGCTGGTCCCTCCTGCCTTCCTTGTGTCCTGGGTCCTTTGCCTAGACAGACAATGCTCATTGAACACTTCTTTTTTCTTCTTAACGTTTTTTTTTTTTTTTTTTGGCTAGCTCTCTTGCTGGCCATCCTGTTAAGTGTTTGGCAGAGTGATTTTTTTTTTTTTTTGGTCAGTCATGGGGCTTGAACACTGAGCCTGGGCACTGTCCCTGAGTTCTTTAGCTCAAGGCAAGTACTCTACCACTTGAGCCACAGCACCACTTCTGGTTTGCTGGTGGTTAATTGGAAATAAGAGTTTCATGGACTTTCCTGCCTAGGCTGGCTCTGAACCACGATCCTTATATCTCAGCCTCCTGAGTAGCTAGGATTATAGGTGTGAGCCACTGGTGGCTGGCCAGAAGTGATCTAATCTATCACTGGCCAAGTATGACAAATCATTTCCAATGGTCTAAGTTTGTTATGGTTGTTAGTGAAGAGACAGAAAGAATCTTGATCTTTTTCTACTTCCTCATCCTGGTAATGCTCAACCTTCTTTCTTGGCCTGTAAGCTGATAGCTCAGAGCCTTTCTTTTTTCTTTCAATAATCATTCACATCATTTGTCCCCAAAGTTCAGCACCTTGTTCTCACTAAGCACTCATCTGCCTCTTTTCCTGCCCACTCACCCGGCTTGGTAAAATATCTGTTTGTCTTTGTCAGCCTGGCATTTCACCATCTGGGAGAGTTTAGTATTTTCTAGAGACATGGAAACATCACTTGTACTCTGGCTGCACAGCACTTACAAAAGCAGTGACTCACATTGGCGGCAGGACTCATCCACGTGGTGAAATGCCCACTTGGATTTAGCTCCAGCATGGCTCTCCAAACAAGTTCATTACCATTGCACACCATAATCCCCAACAGAGATTTGGGAATGTTCCTTTGCTTTATAAACTTCTTGAGGGTACTTACTCTCAGATCTTCTCTTTTCTCTGTCATCAGTCTTGGTTTTCGGACATCCAAGCTTCCTCAGTCTTGTCTCATGGTCCTAATCCACATGAGCTATTCATTAGCTGCACCATCATCCCCTTTTTCTCTCTATTCGGAGATTGTGAGATATCATGATTCCTTATCTTTCATGGTTGAAGAATGGGAAATTTCATTTAGACATAAAGAAGAGAATTATCTCTGGCCCAAAGTGCTTTCCTAATATTTATATACAGAAATTAGAAAGTTTAGCCAGGCGCTGGTGGCTCACGCCCATAATCCTAGTTACTCAGGCCAGCCCGGGCAGAAAAAGGCTGTGAGACTCTTTTCTTCAATAAACCACCAGAAAACTGGAAGTGGTGCTGTGGCTCAACTGGTAGAGTGCTCGCCTTGAGCTGAAGGGCTCAGGGACAGCACCTAGGCCCAAAGTTCAAGCCCCACAACAGACAATAAAAAATAAAAAGTTTGTGCTAATGCTTGTCATGTATGTCTGGACTAGTTAGGTGTGCTTCACCAAGCACCCTCCCAAGCACCTCTGTTCCTTGGCCTGCAAAGCTGTCCTCATGCTTTGCAATGTCACTCCCAGTAGGACCCTGACTCATGTTCCCGGTGCAGAGGTCTGAGACAGAAGGATGGATAGAAGCCCAAGGTTTCCATGCTGTGGAAATCTCCTGAGTAGGACTGATCTCTTGGTACTAAACCAGTAGTAATGGGTATGATGCTGAAACTGGAGTCTCCCCCCTCTTCCCCCATAGATCTCTGGGTAACACACACACACACACACACACACACACACACGTACATTCTAATTGGCCAGCTTGTCTTGATTTTTTGGAAGCCCTTCAGGCTAGTTCCCATGATGCATACCAACACACACATGTGCATGCTTCCATCCAGTGAGAAGTGGTGAACTAAAAACTGCAATTACCTTTCTGGGAGCGGGGAAGGAGCCTGAAATAGTCTTTATGGTGCTAAAATCAAAGTGCTGGCAGGGCCCCTTAATTTCTGGAGGCTATAGGAAGAATTCCTTCCCTTGCTCTTTGGAGCTTCTAGAGGCCACCCACATTCCTTGGCTTGTGACCTCTTCCACTGCAGAGCAGTGGTCAAGTTGCCCCAGCCTCTCCTTCCACATTCTCATTTCCCCCTCCCTCCCCCCAAAAGTGCAGTTTTGTTTAGTTCACTGCCTGTCACTTACTGGATGGACTGATGCATGCATACACACGCGTTCATTCTCTCTCCCTCTCCCTCTCTCTGTCCTCTTTTCATGGATAGTAACCCTGTGATTGCATGTGTCCTGTTGGTAATCACATCTTAACTCAATCACATCTCTCTTGCCACTTAAAAGCATATCCAGTGGTTCTAAGCATTAATGGATATGGGAACTGGGAGCCATTATTCTAACTGTTACTTCCCTCCTTTCTAGAAGCTGATGGGGCATATTACTATATTTCACAAGTATTTTATATAAAGGCTCACAGAAAGGCATGCATTTTAATATCAAATTAAAAAAATTTTCCTTCCCAAACTTTTTTTCCGTCCTTTTTCTTTTACCTTCCTTTTACCTCCCTCTCTTTCCTTATTTCCTCTTTCTTCCTCTCTCCCCCTCTACTTTCTCTCTCATTTATTTTTCTTGAGGCAGGATCTTATTGTATAGCCCAGGCAGGCTCTAAACTTATAATCCTCCTGCTCTGCCTCCTAAAAGTTGGGATTACATTCATAGTTCACCATGCTCAGCAAGAAGACATGTTAATACCTATGGTCACTAGAATCTTCCTTGAGTATATGCATGTGTTGAACAAATGTTTTGAATCCTAAGACCATACAGGAAGTTGACGTTCTAGGGGTGAAGCAGGCAAGGTAGCACCTGCCTATAATCCCAACACAGGAATTCAGGGCTAGCCTGGGCTACATGTAGATTTCCCATGATCCATCAACTCGGTCTCTGCCTTGGAAATGGGCTTGACATTGGGGTTAACATTCCTGTTGCTATGCAATAATTTTCCCTTATCTAATTTGCAAAACTGAATGGTTTCCATGGTGACTGCAGTTGTAGGAAGTTCTCCAGGAGATAGTTAAGTTGTTATGCATAGGACAGGTCAAAACAATGAGAAATGGCTTGCATGAGAGGAGACCACTTCCCACAGAAGGACAAGCACAGTTTAGAAGGTTCCAAGGGTGAACACATGGAGAGAAAAGCAAGGTCTCCAGAATGGATTCTTTTGCTTGTGGGAATGGAATGAACAGTGCTCAGACATTTCTTTCTTTCCTTCTCGTAGGTCCTGATGTATTCAGTTCCAAGAGTCTTGCCCTTCAAGCCCAGAAGAAGATCCTGAGCAAAATAGCCAGCAAAACCGTGGCCAACATGTTGATCGATGACACCAGCAGTGAGATCTTTGATGAGCTCTACAAAGTCACCAAAGAACATACCCACAACAAGAAGGAGGCCCATAAGATCATGAAAGACTTAATCAAGGTGGCGATCAAAATTGGGATCCTCTACCGGAATAACCAGTTCAACCAGGAGGAGATTGTGATTGTAGAGAAGTTCCGGAAGAAACTGAACCAGACCGCCATGACCATGGTCAGCTTCTACGAGGTAGAATACACCTTCGACAGGAACGTGCTCTCCAAGCTCCTTCATGAGTGCAAGGACCTGGTACACGAACTGGTGCAGCGCCACTTGACGCCCAGGACCCATGGGCGCATCAACCATGTCTTCAACCACTTTGCTGATGTTGAGTTCCTTTCCACCCTCTATAGTCTGGGTGGGGACTGTAGGCCCAACCTCAAGAGGATTTGTGAAGGAATTAATAAATTGCTAGATGACAAAGTCCTTTGACTGGTTTTCTTCTTGGACTTTGCTGCTTCCAAGTTGTTAACATTCAGTCTGGTCCAGTGAGAAGCAAAACAAACAAGCAGAAACCCTGTTGAAGATGTTCACGTTCTGTCCCCTTCATTCCTCTGATGCTGAGGTTAAGGTGTGTGTTAACTCCTGAGCTCGATGATGAAGTCTATTCCTTTAAGTCATTGTGTGTATAAGCCCAAAGGACTGTGTTCTAATCAGAGATGCGGCTTGGCTAATGTCAGTGAGCTTAGTTCATCTCAGAATGGAAGGAACCCACAACCAGGAGCCAGAGGACATAGCTTCAGCCACCATCTCCACCAGTTACCACTCCGTCCTCTGTGTTCTGGAGTTGCGATGCTTGCCTGCTACCTCCCAGGGCTGATGGAAAACTCTTTTAATATTTTCTAAGTGCCAGAGGGATAAACCTAGATGTAGACGTCTAGACCATGAAGCGGCACAGAAGAAAAGAAGAACAGAATCAAGTGGGTTGGGGCTTGTTATCTGTCTCTCTGTGCGTTGCTTCAGACCACAATCAAGTGAAATCCAAAGGTGTGCGCAAAAAGGTAGTTGTGAATTAGAAAAAAAGAAGTTTTTCAAGAGTGGTGCCTTTCAGGTCTCAGAGGCGCCACTTTATGATCCTGTGGAAGGAAAGTTTCCTTGAGAGATTTCCCAGGTTGTCCCCCTGCAGGACAAGCCTCCTCACATCTGAGGGCACGGGAGTCTGTGTTCCAATGTACACAGGAAGCTGGGCAGAATGATCCCCTATGTGTCCTTCTTGGTCTCTCACAGTCATTTTGTGCTGTTTTCTCTGGTCCATTAATAAATTAAAGCCTTCAAACAAGGTCTTGGGAGTTTTGATTCAAAAAACGAATTCTAGCCTGTGGCAAACGCCTATAATCCTAGCTACTCAGGAGGCTGAGATGTGAGGATCGCAGTTTCAAAGCCAGTCCACACAGGAAAGTCTGTGAGCCTCTTATTTCCAATTAGCCACCAGAAAATCAGAACTAGAGCTGTGGCTTAAAGGTCTAGAGTACTAGCCTTGAGCAAAAATTGCTCAGGGATAGTACTCAGGCCCCAAGTTCAAGCCCCATGATGGGAAAAACAAAAACAAATTCCTTGGAGATACAGTGCTAAGAGTAACAGTATTAGCTGAGCACTGGTGGCTCATGCCTGTAATCCTAGCTACTCAGGAGGCTGAGATCTGAGGATTGCAGCTTGTAGCCAGCCCAGATAGGAAAGTCTATGAGACTCTTCAAAACTACAAGAAAAAAACAAAAAGCGGGAAGTAGAGCTGTGGCTCAAGTAGAGCACCTAGCCTTGAACACAAGAAGCTCAGGGACAGTGCCCAGGCCCTGAGTTCAAGCCCCAGGACAGGCCAACAAAAACAATCCATGAGCTACTTATTTCTAGTTAACCAGCAAAAAGCTGGAGTGGAGCTGTGCCTCAAGTGGTAGTGTGCCATCCTTAAGCAGAAAAAAAAAGTAGAGGCACAAGACCCCAAGTTTTAGTTCAGTATCAGCATTCTCCCCCCCCCCCCCCCCCAGAAAAAAAAGTGTGAGAGACCAGCAGGTATTTTCCAATGCAGTTGTCTCTGTAAATGTGAATGTGGTCTCTACAAAATCTTCCAATTGTGTGATACCCAAAAGCTTAGAATATGTTCATTTAGATATCATCAATAACACAGGCTATCATTTTGCAACAAAAAAAAAGGAGATGAAGCCAATTTCAAAAAAAGCAACAGTACAAAATCACTTGATCAAATGCTCAGAGCGTCAGAGAGCAGAGCTTGGCTCAGCAAATCAAGTACAGAGATGTGAGTCATTCTTTACGGGTGTGGGTGGCAGGAGCAGTTTGTATCAGTCATTTGGAGACCTCTCTAGGTCTTAATCTTCCTTCAACACTCAGCCCTGGCCCCATGGGAGACCTGGGCTGAAGTTTCCCAATCATTTCTTGGTATACATGTCCTTCCTACCTCTCTGAGCTCTGCTAAAATGCATCCCCTGTTGGCCATGCTTGCCAAGTTATCTGGATCATTCTTCCTCCCTGGGTTTACATCTGTGTGTCTTGACATTCTCAGTAGTTTCCAGTCTTTGCTCAGTGACAAATCAAATGAAAAGACTTCCCCATCTGTGCTTCTTCTCCAAATTCCCATCTTCCCCATCTGTACCTTTTTTTTTTTCTTTCTCAGAAACAAATCAGGACACTCACTGGCTACTCCAATGAACTTCTTGATACACTTATATTAAAAAAAAAAAAAAGGGAGGGGGCTGGGAAAGTGGCTCTGTGGTAGAGTGCTTGCCTTGCATGCCAGAGGCCCTGGGTTCAATTCCTCAGCACCACATAAACAAAAAGAAAAAAGCCGGAAGTGGTGCTGTGGCTCAAGTGGTAGAGTGCTAGCCTTGAGCTGAAGAGCTGAGGGACAGTGCCCAGGCAGAGTTCAGGCCCCATGACCGGACCCCCCCCAAAAAAAAGCTGGGTGCTGATGGCTCCCACCTGTAATCCCAGCTACTCAGGTGGCTGAGATCTGAAGACTGAGTTTTAAAGCCAGCCCAAGCAGGAAAGTCTGTGAGATTCTTATGTCCAATTATCCACCAAAATGCTGGAAGTGGTGCTGTGGATCAAAGTGGTAACACACTACTAGCCTTGAGCAAAGAATAGCTCAGGGACAGCACCCAGACCCTGAGTTCAAGCCCCACGACCCCCTTCCCCCCCAAAAAAAAAAAAGCCAGGTATTTTTGGCTCACAACTGTAATACTAGCTACTCAAGAGGCTGGGCTCTAAGGTTGACAGTTAGAAGACAGCCTGGGCAGGAAAAGTCCATGAGACTCTTATCTCCAATTAAACACCAAAAAGCTGGAAGTGGAGCTGTGGCAGCTTAGTGTAGGGTGCCAGCTTTGAATGAAAAAGCTAAGGGACAGTGCCTAAGCCCTGTGTTCATGCCCAGTATCAACCCCCCATCCCCCACAGAGCACTCAATGCAGCCCTGCTTGACTTCTGCCCCAATATTTTTTGAGATTTGTTTTGATCAAAAGTCAAGAGCACAACCAATCCGTGAAAATTCCTAGAGCAGCCAGCCAACTTTGAGTGTAAAGAGATTACATTGGCAGGAGCTGTCAAACAATGGACTAGGATGTCAACCAGGGTCATGAATCAGGTGACCTTTAGAGAAAAGGCTATCCCAACTTAGCTGCATGGATTTTCCTCAGTTCCTCTGACATGACACACAGCCCAAAGTTGGCCTAGCTTCCTAACTCTCATTAGGCAGGAGGAAAAAAATCCTTCCATAACACTGTTTCTTAAAAGGGCACCTACAAATCCCTAGAAGACTGGGATGGGCAGAGAAGTAGAGGTGGAGTCTGTGAGTTCCAAAGGAGTATTTTTTGTTTTGTTTTTTTGTCAGTCATGAGGCCTGAACTCTGGGCCTGGGCGCTGTCCCTCAGCTCTTCAGCTCAAGGCTAGCACTCTACCACTTGAGCCACAGTGCCACTAGGAATTTTAAATATTTTGTTTCATTTTGACAACTTCAAAACAAGTAAATCAACATAAGAACATTCTGAACCATGTGGGAATGACCTTATAGTTGAGTGATGCCATCTGGCGTCAGAATCCAAGATGGCCTTTGTGTTTACAGTGTCCCTTGTACTAATTGAGTACCTCGTATGAAAGAACAGAAGTTAACTTACTGTGTTTTTGGTTTTGTTTCAGTCTAAGTATGGCCTCCCTGAGGGGCCTACAAGCATCAATTGGGAGCTCAGATCTAATTAATTTTGAGAAGCAGTGCCATAACATAGGAGAGTCAGTGCTTGCAAAGAACAGAGGAATGAGTATCATCATGTGTATTATGGTGACTCGATTTCCAGAGCTCAAAGGGTTTCTTCAAGGGGTGAAACTCTTACCTGGGGGACACATTAGATCTGCACTCACATGCAGGCAGGTTTCTACGTGGTCCTTTTGAAAGAAAAGTGGCCAAAAGCTACCACCTGGCCAGGTACAGGTGGCTCACACCTGTAATCCTAGCTACACAAGAGGCTGAGATTGGAGGATTGTGATTTCAAGGCAGCTTGGGCAGGAAAATTGGTGAGAAACTTGCCTGCAATAAACTACTCAGAGAAGGTTGAAAGTAGAGATGTGGCTCAAGTGGGAAAGTGCTACCTTGAGCAAAAGAAGCTCAGGGACAGCACCCAGGCCCTGAGTTCAAGCCCCAGAATCAGCAAACAAACAAACAAAAACAAAAAAAAACCCTACCACCTATAAATCAGATCTACCACCTATAAATCAGATCAAAGAACTGACCAACCCATTTGTCAATCCCAACACTCAATCTCAAAGGTATGAGAGTGTTCTGCCTTCCTAAGCAAAGGGAAAGGGAGGGGGGAAACCTGTGCAGAAGAGAAGTCACCTAGATGCCCACATTCTGCCCAATTCCAGCTCCATCTGCTGGAAAGTCTCAGACCTCGAGAGCCTTCGTGGAGATTGAGAATCCCTGGGGAGGCAGGGCACCCAGACACTAGAGACATCAAAATCCTTCCAGTCCCAGGAAAAGGGGAGCTCAGCCCGAGCAGACACTCACCGGCTCTGTGTCTAGTAACCTTGCTTTTCCTCAGCTGTCCTGACTTTGCTGAGTTTTGTCTCTACAGAAGGTCCTAGCAGCCCACCCAGACAGTTGGGCCTCCCAGGCTGTAACATAGAGCTCCTCTTAGCTGACTACTAAGGGCTTCTGGACCAGTTCCTAGAACAAGGGAGTCTGGGGTTTGGCTCCTGGCTCAAGGAGGGGCTGGGTGGGAGCCAGGCCTTGGCACACAAGTGCGGGAGGTTAGCTGGGAAGTAGTGATCAGGATGTTAGGGAAAGTCACTCGTGAGGAAAGAACTTGTGGCTGGTCCCTAGAGGGTGATCTGGGCTTGCTCCATGTCACAGCTGGCTTCTCTGTTTAGATAGAGTCCTATTTCCTCTCAACATAGGATTGGCTGCCATTTTGTATCTCAGAAATAGTTGCCACTGTGTTTGACATAAAAGGTTTGTTGGGTTTGGGTTTTGAGTATTTGAAGCTTTCTTTTCAACTGATAGAGAAAGAGCATGAAGGAGTCAGGAGGTTCATAGCTTGCCCACTGCCCCACAATTCCCTTATGTGTCGTTATCTCTGGGTCTCAGGTTCCTCAACTGTAAAAGCTGAGTTGTACAAGGTGGTGAAGAGCCTCTAGGAAGTTCTATGTTCTGGGCATTGCAGAAGAAAAGCCCTGGGTATTCCTGAGCTATAGGTTTCTTAGAAGGGAAACTTACTCAAGTAAAGCAATTGCTTCCAAATAGACACATGATTTCTTCTCCCCTTGAGGCACTTTGAGTATGAATCTAAGGTCATGGATTCCAGAGAGGAAAAGCTCTAAGCCAGAAAATACAAAGTAAAATCAAGACTCTATAAAGACCAGGAAACTACACAATATGGGCCCCAGGAGTAAGCTAGTCAGCCAGACTAGCAGTAGTCTACAGAGACTCATTAGGCCCAACCCTCTACTGAGATGTGCAAGTCAAAATGAGATTTGTCAGACTCAAATAATCGATCTCTGGACAGACAGAGGAGTAATAAGCAAATCCATGAATAAGTTATTACTAACTTGAATCAAATACCATACGATATGATAGGTATTCCAAGTATATTTAAAAAAGCCAAAGTATATTTTTTAAAAAGCCATATTTTCTCAGATCATTTTTCTTTTTCTTTTTTTTGGGTCCGGTTGTGAGGCCTGAACTCGGCCTGGGTGCTGCCCCTCAGCTCTTCAGCTCAAGCCAGCGCTCTACCACTTGAGCCACAGTGCCACTTCCGGCTTTTTTCTTTTTGCTTATGTGGTGCTAAGGAATTGAACCCAGGGCCTCAGGCATGCAAGGCAAGCGCTCTACCACTGAGCCACCTTCCCAGCCCTGGACCAGACTTCTCAAAGCCCCCCCATCTTCCTCTGTTCCCATTGCTGGCTGCAAAGTCAATGGTCCCATCCTGCAGTTGCTGTCATACAAGGAAATCAGACAATGAAGTCTGTTGACCCTAGTAGGGAGGGCTCAACGTAAATTCTTTACATCTCAAATTCTGTAATTATTAAAGAATACAAAGCTCCTGGGCGGGGTGCCAGTGGTCCACACTTGTAATCCTACTCAGGAAGCTGTGATCTGAGGATCACAGTTCGAATCCAACCCAGGCTGGAACAGCTGTGAGATCCTTATCTCCAATTAACTACTTAAAAGCCTTACGTGGAGGTGTGGCTCATGTGGTAGAGCACCAACTAGCCTTGTGAGAAAAAGCTCAGGAACAGCACCCAGACCCTGAGTTCAAGCCCCCATACTGGCTACACAAAGATTAAAAAAAAAAAAAAGTTAAATCCAGTTGACCAATTTCCCCACACATCTGCATAATTAATTGCCAATATCTGAGGATTATGTGAACAACTCTTGGCTAAATTAAGCATCCCAAGAACTTGAATGTGGGGAACTGGACTATTGGCACACCTGGATGGTGCCATGGGGCCTGGAGTAGGTCCTTCATCCACCACCAGTGGAGGAAAGCAGCAGATTTCACTGCCCACCTCTCCCCTACCCCTGCTTCTCACTCTCAGAACCATGGACTCACTGATTATTGAATTCACTGATACTAGGTGGGTGTGCTGGGGGAAACACTGCAGATTCAGGAGACTTCTTCAGCCCAGAATAGACTGTGTCAGGGTTAGGCTCTTAATACAGGCACTGGGTTCTACCTGGCTCTCCACCTCCACCTTATAATTGTCCAGGCAGAAAAGGCCCACAGCACAATGGGTGACCCTGGCAGTCAGGGCTAGCCAATTCTTCACTTGCCTGTGAATTCCCAGAGGAAATGCAAACAAATCAAGACCACACTTTGGCTGTTGGCCAAAGGAATCTTTGAACTTCTTCAATAAAAAGTCTTTAAAAACTGGTTCTGACCCAAATCTTTTGCTGTGGGGCCTCATGGCTTTCTGTTTAGACAAACAGTGTTGGTGGCATTTGAATAAGGGTTATTTATCTCAGAAATTATTTCCACCATGTTCTAGCACCTCAGTGTACTCTTCAGCTCTTCTTGAATATCTAGCACACGTACCTACATCATTTTGGGGGTGGTTATGGAATATATTTACCTGTTGATGTTCCTAATCATCTTCTCACTTATTGGAAGCCCTAAATTGTAAAAGGCCCAAAGGCTGCAGTTTTCACTGAGACCAGGGGGAGACAGAATGACCTCTGCAGTAGGAGCTTTTTTGTTTTGTTTTGTCTTGTCAGTCATAGGGCTTGAACTCAGGGCCTGGGCACTATCTAATTTTTCACTCAAGGATTGCACTCTAACACTTGAGCCACAGCTCCACTTGCAGCTTTTCAGTGGTTAATTGACAACAAGAGTTTTACAGACCTTCCTGTCTGGGCTGGCTTTGAATTGCAATCCTCAGGTCTCAGCCTCCTAAGTAGCTAGGATTACAGACCCAAGCCACCAGTGCCCAGCAAAAGAAGCTGTTTTTAAAAGTATTGCTGAACAAGATATCACTGCTCAGTGTAGTCTAGAACTACCACTGTTTAAAAAGTAACATAGCAAGTGTAAGGTCTTTATTTTTTAGACTGAATAGTAACTCGTGTGTGTGTGTGTGTGTGTGTGTGTGTGTGTGTGTGTATGCACACGTGTACACATGTGCCAGTCCTGGGGCTCAAGGCCTGAACACTGCCCCTGAGCTTTTTTTACTCAAGGCTAGTGCTTGACCACTTGAGCCACAGTGCCACTTCCAGCTTTTTGGTGGTGAATTGCAGATAAAAGTCTTAAGGACTTTCCTACTGGGGCTGGCTTCAAACTCCTCAGATTTCAGCCTCCTGAGAAACTAGGATTACAGGCATGAGCCACCAGCCCTGGCACCTTTTCTATTTTTCCTTCTCTCATTGTTGTTGTCTTTCAGAATAGATTTTATGGCAGAAATCTACTATCCAAAGCCACATCTCCTGCCTTGTTACACAGAAAATCCAGGAAAAGGGAGAACTAAAAATTTCAGAACGAGGTATTCTTCTTCATCCTATGTGTTCTCCAAATTAATAACCTGACCATGTCTACTTCCACACTTTTTTTTCCCCCTAATTTTACTGAGTCTACTTTGATCCTTCAAAGGAACTCTATCATCAAGAAACCTAAACAACAGGAACAATCAGGTAGCACTGAACTCTCCTTTATTGTATCTCCTGCAGAAACAGACTTGAGCCTCTTCAACCTGCAATCGGTCTGCTCTCGACCTGTAATACAAATTAAAAACCTTGGGGAAGTCCACCTGAACATCCCAAGTCACTGGAAAACTAACCCAGAGCAGGAGAGGATTCCAGACTCAAGGAAAGAAGAATCTCAGGTCACATTCAAAGTATGTATTTTCATTACTGAGTAAACAGCCCCTCTCCATAAACGCTCCTTAATTGGGGGATTAGCTCAGTGGTAGACCACCTGTATAGCATATACAAGGCCCTGGGTTCAGGTCCCAACACTACAAAAAATTATCTCTTTTTAAATGCTCCCTTAAATCACATCTTTGTGGAACTAAAACTGTTGGCTTCTACCTGAATGACTCTTACTGACAGCAGATAGGAATCAGCTCTGATTCAGAATTAATTTTCTCTTATGGTCCACTTTTGTGACATTTCATAAGGTACTGAGGGTTGGACTGTAACATTTTAAAATGTCAGTGTATTTTTTTTATATAATCAGTGTGTTGCATCTAGTATCTTATGACACCACCAAATCATTTGTAGCCAAACAAAGAAAAAATAAATAGAGGTTCAAAAGATGCCTGCTCCATCCCCTATTCAGGCACCCTTTCTTTATAGATGGACAAGAATACATACCCTCCTCCACAGTACCACCAAAAAGAACATTTTACTTTAACTAAATCCCACAAAATGATTTCATATTGTACCATACTATTTGTGGATTAAATGAGACACCTGACCTGATTTTGTTCTGTTATTTTCCCCTCCACCATCTTATTCATGTGTTAACATGGTAAAATTGGCCATAAGCATGGTAGAGCAGAAAAAAAAATTGTAAGAGTAACTGAAATAACGTGTTCATAGATATTTATGAGGTTGTAACTTTCCAAAGCTCTGTGAAGCCACCTCCTCTTATCAAGATGTTACTGTGAGTGCTGGTGTTTATGGCACGTCATAAAAGAACGCTTTGGGTGCCTATTCTGGGTAATGCCTAATTTTAGGGCTTTGGGAGAATCTCTGTGTGGGTCATTATTCACTGTTTAATATTACTTGTCCTCTGGTGGAAATTCTAAATGTCTAGTTTAGAGGCTGATTTGAAAGAGAGGTGTCCAGGCTGCCTAAGAACAGGGTTTGATCCTGCCCAAGTTGAAAGTGATTTCTGATTGCTCTTGTTCTCAAGTAGTCTTGAAATCAGTTGGGAGAGCCATAAAACCATATGTTTGCTTACCTTTTCCCCCCTCATCCTTTTCTTTTTCTTTCTTTTTTTGGGGGGGGAGGTCTGGTCGTGGGGCCTGAACTCTGGGCCTGGGTGCTGTCCCTCAGCTCTTCAGCTCAAGGCGAGCGCTCTACCACTTGAGCCACAACGCCACTTCCGGCTTTTTTTTCTTATGTGGTGCTGAGGAATCGAACTTGCAAGGCAAGTGCTCTACCACTGAGCCACCTTCTCAGCCCCTCCCCCTCATCCTTTTCTTTACCTCTATTCTTAT